CTTCCCCTGTGGAGACCTGGAGGACAAACTAACCTGCAAACATAAAGGGGAGATTTTCCTGAAACTGGAGTAGCTGTGCCTATATAACCAATCAGCTTATAGCTTCAGCTTGATCAGTTAGGCTTTGAAAATGAAAACTAATAGCTGATTGGTTGCCATGTACAGCTGCACCAGTTTCTTTCTATTGCAGTCTTAGACAGTCCATACATTAGTCATTTATTTTCATTCAGCCAGCAGGTTGAACAAAAAAAATAATAAACCAGTTATTCCATCCACACTCTTGATATGGATGGGAGAATCACTTTCGTTTAGCTATTGTATTCTGACAGAGGGGAGACTTCTCCGCTGTCAGAATACACTGATAGTGCTGTTGGTTATAGCCGGTAAATCAACTTCTGTACGACTGGCCTGCCCATACATGATTTGAAATTCGTCCGGTCTCTGCTGAACTGGCTACATTTTTATCCATGTATGTCCGCCTTAGTCAATCCCACACTTTAGTATCTCACTATCTTTAATGAATGAACAACACAGTGGTCTGACCATATCTAACAAAACATTCTATTCTTCCTGTTTTCATATAATTATTACTCATATCATTATAACTGTATTATAACACGTGTGCCACGTACATTTACATGGTGAAACTAGTTTGGGAGTTTTTTTTTTTTTTTGTTAAATGCTGAAAAATATTTGCAAAGAGTGCATCTGGGTTTTAAAATAACCTTGTAGTAGCAGATATACTTTCATATAATTGCATGGAAATATATATGTTTGACCAAGTTTGGCCACAAACAACCAAAGATATACTTTCTTCTGCTGACCTCTCCTTCTGAAATTGCTAGTTGCCTGGCTGCCTTGCCGATCCCATGACTTTCTATACTGCCAACCTGGAACTAGTATGTAGTTTATGGTAGGTGCATGTTTGTAGATTAGGATTTCTTAAATAAATCGGACTACATTTCCTGCACACTTGTTCCAAGTTTATAGTGCACTGGGAGAAAAGCCAGGTAACACCAGCATGGAGCTCAGCAATGATGGCATAAATATTTTATGGTTGTCAACAGAACAGAAGATAAAATACCTTCCAATGGAAACACCTGTTTTGGTGATATCAGGAAACCTGTAGGTATATTTATTTACAATATATACAGCATTTACACATTTATATACTTCTGGTATATATATATATATATATATATACACAGTGTTATTATTATTATTATTATTATACAGGATTTATATAGCTCCAACAGTTTGCTCAGCGCTTTACAATATAACGGGAGACAACACAGCAACAATACAGTTCAATACAAGAGGGTTAGGAGGGCCCTGGTCCTTGGAGCTTACAATCTAAGAGGGAGGGGCTAGTGGTACAAAAGGTAGTAACTGTGGGAGATGCACTGGTAGGGGGAATAGAAGATTCCATTATTAGCTGGGGGCAGGATAGGCTTCCCTGAAGAGATAGGTTTTCAGAGATCGCCTAAAAGTGAGCAGAGTAGGCAATAGTCTGATAAATTGGGTATATATATATATATATATATATATATATATATATACACATATACACACACACTGTATATAAAAGAGAGAGAGAGAAAACACTGGTTGTTTGTGGCCAAACTTGGTGAAACATATTTATTTCCATGCAATTATATGTACAAGAGTCAAAGGTGTTATTCTTAATTCTTATTAAATGATTCATTCTTATTCTTAACATGATACTAATTTGTGTATTTATTTCTTTACTTACTATCAGAATGAGCTGTTCCTAAAAACAGGGCCAAGAACGACAGCAAAGCCAAGGTCTTCATTGTGTATCCTAAAGGACAAGAGAATCAAATGATCAACATTCTATGCAATTTGGGAAAGGTCATCTGGGCTGTAGCATAACTAATGATGTTCATCTTAAATTAGTAAAATGACTGAAGAGTGTATTTGCTAAAGGAAAATAGGCTGTGCACTCAGTAATGTGTACACAATGGCAGGGGCAAACTGACCATTTGGAACTCGGGCACTGCCCAAGGGCCCGGAGTTAGTAGGGGGCCCCATGAGATGCCCCTGGTACCTTTTTCATAGGCTTTTTTGAGTTTGGGTAAGGACACAGGGGCCCCATGATCCCCTATTGCCCGGGGGCCCCATGAGTTGTCAGTTCGCCCCTGCACCTTGGATACTGAACCATGTGCAAGGCAGATTTTAAAAACTGTATTTTTGCTTGCATATGATTGATGATTTGAAGAGACCACATTTTCACATTCAGCAAGCTAAGTGGAGTAATTAGTATTGCAAATTAATTATAAGAACAGCTTTATCCTAATATTTCTTTATAAAAAAAAAAAAAAAAAAAAAAAAAAAAAAAAAAAAAAAAACAGTCTCAATTTCTTTTACAAACAACTCATAGCTTCTATATTTGTGAGTTAATTAGTATTGCAAATTATTATAGAACATTTTATTCCTAATGTAGTATTATCTTGATACCACAAAGAGGCAGATACAGAGCAATCTACCAAAAGGGTAATGAACCATATAATTAAGCCTCCAGGGTACATATAAATTTGACCAGATTTCAATAATGACAACACAATAATAACAAACAATTAGAAAGCTCTTTATTAAGTTTACCAAAATCATACAAATAAAAACTGGAAAAAAATGGGGGGGGTCTTTTAGGGAGACTGTAGGACTGGTGACACCATAAAAAAAAACAAGACAATGAACTTAGACCTACAAGGCACGTCCAAGACGTCAAGCAATATTCATACTAAGCTCATTTAAAAACATTAAATGCAAACGTGAAACATTGCTCACTCAAGACTTAACCACAAGCATTAGACGTCACGACATATCCCATACAGTCATTTATCCTGAAGCATTAATTCTGCATTGGAGACTGTATGTATCACTCCAACTAAGAGTGTTCGATCATGAGACTGTAGGATCATGGTGACCCATAATCAATAAATGAGCCAGACGTGAATAATCCCAATGCTGCAATAGCTCTAGACAACCACAATGCCAAACAGCTCACTCAAGCTTAACAAGAAGCATCTTGACCACATTCCAGCAATGACACTTTTTATTACTGGACATATATAGAAGTCTCATCATTTTTCATATACACAAAACCAATATTAGAAAAAACTTATTTAAATTTTATAAAATTTAATTACAATGCATAAAAACATTCATATGAGCCCACACCTAAAAACATAGTATTTAATTGATTATAGATATTTTCTAAGGCAATGTTATTGTGGCCATATTGCATAGCCACATTAAATACTTTACTAAACATAGGTATTTACTTGATTTTAGATCTTTTCTATATGTAGCTTAAAAAAGGCAGATGTTCTGACAAATGTGTAACATAGACACCATTTTACAATCAAAGATTCTTGCATTCTGAAAAACAATATCTTCTGGCTTATATGAGTGTATTTTTCTGATTGTGGACGGTAAAGGGTAAGTGCTTTGGAATATTATATAATTCTAGATATGATTGTGGCATTTACTTGTGACTAAAGTAGGTTTTATGCATTTTATGTTCTTCACTTTATTATGAAGCTGTAAATAAAATTTGTATTTTTCTAATATTTTTTCTGTATATGAGACACCTTAAAAATCCCCTTCAATATATGAACAATAAAATAGCTGGCATTACAAATTTCCATAAAGATAACACAGAGATTTGTACATGCAATAAAACTAAAGAAAACAAAAATCCTCATCTGATGTAGTCCATGTAGAACTTTTTTGTTCAAGATCAAATGCCTTTAATATATTGCTAGCTAAATGATAACAAGACATCCCTGGACAATAGGTCATGTTCCAGCTGGTGGTGGCATGAGTATCTCAATAAACATAGGATATAAAAAACCCATGTCCAGTACCAGTGTTGGTATTATTATTAATATTATCATTACACAATATGTTACAATTTATATTGTTGTGACAATTAGATTAATTTTTATTTTTTTGCAGATACAAACACAAAAATATATAAAGGTGTATATAAATATTATATAATAAATGCTTCAGTAGGGCAACTCTTACCTTCTATCTAGTTGTAGTCAATCACCTTTTGTGTGTGTGAGACTTTTCCTCGTCAGGCAGTTTGGAGTTATACCCTTCTGATCAAAACAGGTGCGACCATTTAACAAATCATCGAAAGGGGCTGGTTTTACTGAACAAAAAAAGTTTTAAAACTTATGGCACATGTGTGAAAAAAAATATTTTTTATTTTGGAACAATACATTAATCCTACTTTGTTTGCTCTTTCACATAGTTTTCTTTGTTATCCCAGTTGACCATGACAGGTGAATTCACACCCCATCTTTCAGCATGGCTTTATGTCTGAATTCACTACTCTCTTGGAGTTCTCTATAGGCTGAGGTCATGTGTGGCATTTACCTATTGAGCCTTAATCATCAAAGAATGTCTTTTGTGTGTTTATTCCTGGTACAATGAAGTGCCACTCAAAGGACTGACATCTGTTGGAGTCAGTATTTTATGTATGACCTCTTTACCATTAAGAACAGCTATAATAGCTAATATAATGCAAGAAGATGTTTAGTGGTGTTTGTAATACAGAACAAAAGAGCAGTATTTATTTATTACAGGTACTTATATAACATCCTCAATTTATGCAATGCTTTTACATATATCTTGTACATTCATATCAGTCCCTGAGCTAAAGGAGCTTACACTCTAAGGTTCCTAACTCACATTTATACATCCACATACTAAGGTCAATTTAGACAGGGAACAAAACACAGAATACTTTTTAATTAAATCACCAGTGGGTATGTACAGCAAGTAAGAACCTATTGGAGGTCCTAATTCTTCCCAATCTTATACAAAACTAAAAACGTTTTAACCAAAGCTCTACTTTAAGCTTTAGCTTAAATCTCTAAAAATGGTTTAACATGTCAGGGTTATTTAAAAATAATTTTTACTATTTTTTAAATCTACAGCTTTCAATAAAATAATACCTTGCGCAGGGGCGGACTGACAACTCATGGGGCCCCGGGCAATAGGGAGATCATGGGGCCCCTGTGTGTCCTTGCCCAAACTCAAAAAAGCCTATGAAAAAAGGCACCAGGGGCATCTCATGGGGGCCCCCTACTGACCCCGGGCCCTCGGGCAGTGCCCAAGTTTCCAAATGGTCAGTTCGCCCCTGACCTTGTGACCCTGTCCTAAAGGTCCTTGTTCAGGCACTTCCTCTTATAGGGTGACAATGCATGTCTCCCAGCTGTGCTTCTGTGTTGCCACCCTGTCATGTGAGTTTCGAGGGAGAAAACAAGTGGCCATTTCTTTTTTTTTTTTTTTTTTATTTAAATATTTTATTAGTTTTCAATTTTTTCTTAACATAAATAATCATATTATTCACATGCAAAAAACATTTTCATTTAAGCAATTCTCCCCCGAAAACCTATTCCCCCTTTGCCCCATTCCCAACCTCCTTCTCACCCCCAACCCCCACTTCCTCCATTCTTCTTTTTAGCTCCCAGCTCCTCTTTATTTCCCAAGATACTTTCAAAACTCCCTGCACTTTCTTCCTAATCTACCTATCCCAAGTGGCCATGTCAACCCACATTACGTGGCATGCTGTTCCCCTGTGGAAACCACCATGAGAAATGCCATGAAGCCTTCACCAGAAGGGAGTGCAAAAGGGACTGAAGGAATGTCATCAGCACTGAAGTGCAACAAAGGATAAAAGAATGGTGAAAACAAGTATTTTAGTAAAAAACTGAAAATAGAAATAGTTTTTTTTGTACGAAGTGTTGTAGCAAATTAAAGTCATTCATTTAGGATTTGCATCTACTTTCTATCTACATTCTTGTTGAAACGTTGTGTATCACTAAAAGGGACTTGAGGAAAATGTATTAAAGAGAAAGGGTATATGTTGTATAATGTATCAGTAAATAGGAAGTAATAAATTGGCATTTTACATATTAACATATTGTTAAGCTGTTATCCAGAGACATCATGTGAAATTCTTAGAAAAACACCAATGTTTTTTTACAGTACACTCATATAAGAAGGGGAAAACTCTGTAAACACAAAGGAATAATAAAACACCGTGAAAAATGTTCATAAAGAATTTATGTTATGTAGTAGTACTAAAGGTCATGAGAATAATGATTGTTGAATTCACTAGTTTTGTAAAATAAGTTAAGTATAGGATTAAGCATTTTTATTCTGAAAAATTCAACTGCTTATGTACCATTTAAAAAAAAAAACAAAGCACATCAATCACATTAAAAGAGACCTGGGGCTTGCCTATCCATGTCCAAGTATCATGTTTACCGCATAACAGCCCCCCACTGCTTTATTTATTTAATTTATTTCAGGTACTTATATAGCGCTTTACATATATATTGTACATTCACATCAGTCCCTAACCCTCAAGGGATGTACAATCTAAGGTCCCTAACTCACATTCATACATACACATACTAGGGCACAATTTAGACAGGAGCCAATTAACCTACCAGCATGTCTTTGGAGTGTGGGAGGAAACCAGAGTAGTACCCAAAGGAAACCCACACAGGCACAGGGAAAACATGCAAACTCCAGGCAGGAGGTGCCGTGGCTGGGATTCAAACCAATGATCCGAGTACTGCCAGGCGGAAGTGCTAACCATTTAGCCACTGTGCTGCCCGCTTTAAGTATTTATTATTCATGAGCTCTCTCCCCTATTCCAAATGTCTCCCACAATGGAAAGAACATGCAACTTTCCCCTTCTCCTTCCACATTCCAGCATTCAGAGCCTAAAGATGACCATACACTAGTAGATTTTTAAATAAATGTTCATTGAAATTTTGTGCGAAAATTCTCATCAGTATGCTCAGTGACATGACTTACACCCTTCAAATGTACATAAAGAAATATTTACTTTTAACTCTCAATTGAGTGAATGGACTTTCCCAAATGATACCACATTCACTGTTAGAAATGTGTTTGTTCAAGAACAAAAGATCTGTGCTACTCAATTGAATTTCCCATCATGGTCAATGTAAAAAAAAACATTGATCTGACTCCACTAACAATTGGAAAATCAAATGAAAGTTCCTTAAAGAAAATTTTCAAACTAAATTCTGCTAGTGTATGGCCAAAGTCGGTGTCCAAAAAACCAGACTTGTATACTGTCATGTGAGGGTGGTTGGGGAGTCCTATGCTAGATTGTAAGCTCCAAGGAGCAGGGCCCTCCTTTCCCTCTTGTATTGAATTGTATTGTTGCTGTATTGTCTCCCTATGTATATATTGTAAAGCGCGCTGAGCAAAACTGTTGGCGCTATATAAATCCTGTATAATAATAATAATAATATGTCAACTTTAACTCTAAACAAAACTTTGGTTTGGATGGGACTTTTTAGGCATTCCATCTATTCACAAATATATCTACACAAAACATATTTTATTCAAGACATATTACAAAAAGGGGGTACATAAAAACATATTTCAAGCTGCATATCCAAGATATATATTATATGCAATTCTCTTATCCCGATGTATTTCGAAATTGCCTTCTTCCTTAGGGGAAATGAGGATTTGTAAAATGTGAAAAATAGACACAGATAATATCACAAGAGGCCCAATATACAGTATGATAAGTACAACAATATACATATAAATACATCAAATTCCACTTACAATCCCCCATATCATCATCAAAACATGTAGCTAATAAAAACACCACTATATTGGAAGTTCTCAGAGCTGTTTCTTCTCAAGGATTGCTCCCTTCAACAGAATCTATGGGCACCAACCTTGCTAAAAGAGAATATGTGGAATGCCTAAAAAGTCCCCATCCAGACTAAAGATTTTGTTGGATTTATTGAGGGATGTTGGCATTTGTGGGATGAATGAAAACACTTGGGAGTTATATTGTAAACTCTAACTTGACCTAGAACTTACAGAGTGATTTATATTGGGTGAACAGGGGTATGAGTAGAAAGTGAAAATGAGTACTTGCAACGGAGGGGAAAGGATAGCCTCATTGATGAGAAAATGTATATTTAATATCATGTTATTTTTTAAATATTCCTTTTTATATCCATCAGACTGATCCACCCCACATGGAAGAAAAATATATTTGAAATATATTTTAAAAATATTTTTTTCCAAATATATTGACATATATTTGAAATGCTACAATTTTGGCCATATTCAATAAATTTCAAAATATATTTCAATATTGGCCAAATCGTCAGGTTATTCAGCAGGTGCAAAGTCAGAAGCAATAATTCAAAACAGGTTCAGGATGGCAAAGATTATGTATACACAGCAAAATAGTACAGAACAGATAATGAAAACTGAACAAACATGGTCTTTCTCTTCACATTAATGCCCAGGCTAGCTTTGATAATACAGGCAAACAGCTGGCGGGATCAAAGCCTGAGTACAAAAGGCCACCCCGAAGGAACTGCAGTAATGTAGCCGCTGGGACAGTGCTTCCCACACCGATATGGAAGAAAAATATATTTGAAATATATTTAAAAAATATTCTTCACAAATATATTGCCATATATTTGAAATGCTACAATTTTGACCATGTTCAATATATTTTAAAATATATTTCAATATATATATATATATATATATATATATATATATATATACACTGCATGTTGAAATGCATTTTTATTACAAAATACATGAAAAAAATTTTTAAAAATGCATTTCAAATATACTGTATGTCTTTAAAAATACAAATCTAATTTTTTGGAATGCATTTACAAATATATGTAAAAATACATGTTAAAATGACTTTTTTGTATGTTAAGAAAGATATATTTAAAAAAAAATATATATTTTTAAAAATATATTTTTTAAAATATATTCTTCAGATTTTAACATATAAAAAAGTAATTTTTAACATATATTTTTACATATATTTGTAAATGCATTCCAAAAATGTAGAATTGTATTTAAAGACATACAGTATATCTGAATTTTTTTTAAATATTTTTCATATATTTTGTAATAAAAATGCATTTCAACATGCAATATATATATATATATATATATATATACACATACATATATATATATACATATATATATATATTATATATATATATACACACATACATACATATATATATATATATACATATATATATATATATATATATACACACATATATATATACACATACATATATATATATATATATATATATACATACATATATATATATATATTATTTCAAATATATGTCAATATATTTGTGAAGAATATTTTTAAATATATATTTCAAATATATTGTTTTTTGTTTTTTTTTTTCTTCCATATAGGACTGTACAAATCTGAGGGTTGAAATAGAAAGTTTTGACCCTTTCTCTATTCACAGTCAGTGACTGCTCCAGTGATTTGCTTGTTGACAGGTGTATTGTATAGAAACTGACGTGCTCTGGTGACATTTGGAAGCCACAACCAACCCCACCCTATACTGCTGGAAAACAAAAAAAAGCTTAATTCTTGCGTTGTAGCTTAGCATTTCTGTCTATTTCTGTCACATTTATATGGGTCTTTATTGAAAACTATCCCAGTCTAAGTTAAGCAGAGATTTATTTGCGGTACCGTGTCAGCAAATAACATTTTATTTTTCTGCTGCACCCTTCCTGTGCACTCCAAACATTCAAGAAATGCTTAGTCTCAAGCACAAAATGTCATCTTAGATCTTTTGTTCTCTTCCAGAAGGGACTGTCTCCAGAAGCTATTAAATAATTTAGGTAAATAGCAAGCTCATTGTTGTATACAAACTTGCTTTGAAAACCGCACTTTTCAGAATGACGTTGGTTTGAGCATTTGCCTGCAGCTACTTTTCACTAAGGTGTCTCAACATTGTCGCTTGTGAAATCGCAAGAGAATGCTCTGATGACCTTCCTTTTTGTCCCTCCCTGTATATATTTAGCAAAATATGTATTAATTAGTATGAGGATATGTCATCTTGAAAAATATAAAAGCTGTTTTTTACCTAGGAACTTTCAACTTTGATGTTTTTTTTTTTTTTGTAAGCTATAAATAAAAACATTCAAATGATGAGAAAACACAAAGTTCAGTTTGACGACATAGCAGATATATTATTGGAAGAATGACAGAAATTAATGCTATGCGACTGCTTAGAAATGTACTAAGATGACCAACCATGCCTGCCTCCAAAAATTTTTTTAAAC